TGTCTTTTTCATTTTGATACATAAATGGTAATTTTTTTCTTCCACTTTTCCCATAGTGTATACATTTGTTTCTCCTTCTAAATTCAAATGCCTCCCACAGCACAGCTAGAACATAAATTTCACATCTTTATTAGGAAGCAATATTAGAAATGATCTCTCAAAAAACAAACAAATGAAATATTGCTGATCTGATTTTTAGCTTTATTTAAAAGAAAAAAAAAGCCAGGTGGTGGTGGCTCAAGCCTTTAATCCCAGCACTCAGGAGGCAGAGGTAGGCTAGCAGATTTCTGAGTTTGAGGTCAGCCTGGTCTACAGAGTGAGGTCCAGAACAGCCAGGGCTACACAGAGAAACACTGTCTTAAAAGAAAAAAGAGTTCCTTCACTCACAGAACCAGTTATGGTTTCAACAGAGTAGAGTTTCAAATGCCTTCAGTTACACAACAGCTGCCCTTTGGGCGGGAGCTCCACATTAGCAGCAGGTATGATCTCATTGCCTTAGTACCTGGTTTCAGAAGTCAACCCAGCTGGGGCAAAGCAAACAGGAGTTATCAGCCAGCTTGGGATATAGTATGAGACTTTCTCAAAGAATCAATCATCAACAGCAGACTGTAGCAGCAACATCAATAGTTAATATTAATAATAACAGTAATAATTTCAGTTAGAAGAACACTCGGTTTAAGTAATAAGTGTTAACATTTGTCATGAATTTTCTATTTTGGTAAATATCAGTCTTGTTTTCTCAAAATCCAATATTCTTTCCCTAAATGAACAATATTAAGGTGAAGGAACAGGGAAGAAGGAAAAAGAATGAAATATAACGAAACATAGACATTTTCAAAATGCAAGAAAACACTGTCTTGCTTCCTTTCTGAAGATTGAAGTAGAAAATCCTATTATATTCTCTCTTCATAATTTACAATGAGTTCAAAATGCAAAGGATTTAGTCCTGGATGGGGTCAGCCTCCCACCCCATGCCTCCTCCTTGCATTCCTTTTTTTCTTTACAGTGGATCTGCAAAACAAAAACCCCAGCTTCCCAGGCAACTTCTGTCATTATGCACTTTGCGAAGCTATTGTTTGAATTTGCCTTTGCTATGAGACCTGTAGAGCAGGCATGTTCCACAGGGACTTGGTGCAATTCACTGGAGTGTATTATACCAGAGACCAGGGAAACGAGTGCACTAGAACGCTAAGCACAAAGAAAAAAAGCCGTGGCGAGAACTATTTAAGTATTATATGCTCCAATGGAATAACTAATGTAACAACCTCTTAGCTCAATTCCTCTCTGCGTTTTCTGGTTCTGCAGCGAACCACTGTGACAGGCTTGAGGTTCAGCTCCTCTGCCCTCCCGGGTCCGGTCCCGTCCCTGGCAAAGCACCTCTCCGCTCGCATAGTGCGGTTCAAATATTCATTCAATACATACCCTCCTTCAGTCGGTCTGTGGTACTGAGCATGCCCACAGAAGCCTCTGCAGTCTCTGCAGTACACATCTCGGAACCTAGACACTGTTCCAGCCACAGGAAGACAGAAACTTAGCAGCTGAGAGGAAGAAATACCGTTCAGGGGACGGTTGGCCCCGCCTGGGTGCTTATTGCAGTTTGCTCCTCCTCCTGAATTACCAGTACTTCCGCGTGCTATCCACACAGCCAGGCAGTGATCTTTTGGATAGGTGAGAGCCCCATGTTACTACAAGTCTGAGTTTTGAGATTATCGCTTAAGAAGGGGCACCAGGGCCAGGTCAGAGGATTCTGTGTGCTAAGGATCCAGAGACTGATAAGAGACAGAGTCGGGACGGAGAGAGCTGAAGTGAACACACTTCTCGCCTCTCTGGGAATAAGAGATCGTTTATTCTGAAGCCAATTATGAGAGACCAGGACCCAGGACCATGGATTCAGGCCGTCTCATAGGACAGGCTCCAATCTGGAGATGTTTTTGTTGGTGGTGTGGGGACAGATACCTCCCACTGCCACCCTCAGCAGTGAAAGAAATGCCTCTAGAGCAGGGGTTCTCAACCTTTTTAATGTTCATGCTGTGGTGACCCCCAACCATAAAATTATTTCATTGCTACTGTAATTTTGTTATTGTTATGAATCAGAATGCAAATATTGATGTGCAGGATATGTGCCCCCCCTTGAAATGGCCGTTCGACCCCCCAAAGGGGTCACAACCCACAGGTTGAGAATCTCTGCTCTAGGTTTTCAGGGATCTTTGACTCAAGCCAAACCTAGGTTCATAGCTTTGGTGCCAAAAAGAATTTCAGGACCAGACAGTTTATGAAGCAGAGTTGGAGTTTTTCTAAGATTTATTTGTATTATATTTAATTATATGTATGTGAGTGGGACTGGCTATGGGTCTGTGCCTGTGAGTGCAGGTGCCTCCAAGGGTGCCTCCAAGGGCGTCACAGTGCTCCAGAGATGGAATCGCAGGCTTGAAGAGTTTGGATTTAGAATGCAGATACCCCAGAAATGTAGCAACGGAATATCATCATCCTCAAGAATAAGAAATTTAGCATTATTTTTTATCATTTAGAAACATATGCCAAGGAAAATTGTAAACATCTCAGAAAAATTTTAAAATAAAAATATTTGGGTGATGGGTATGGTAGTACATGACGCTGATCCTATAACTGGGGTGTCTATGACAGGTGGATCTCTATGAGTTCATGGCTAGCCTGGTCTACATAGGGAGCTCCAGGCCAGCCAAGGTTAAGTTAAAAAAAATATTAAAAATTTAATATATTAATTTTATAAAATATAATATATAATCAATACAGTAGTGTAAAATATTGAATATAAATGTATACTATCAAAATATGAGTTAATAGATGCAGTCAGAGAGGTTTTGAACACAGTTATTTGGGGTACTCAACTGTCAATATAATTGGAGATGAGTGTCACCCAGATTTTCTGATGTCCAAATATATTGCAGGATATTTGTTTACACTGTGTGAAAATGTCTATGTGTTTTGCCTCACCTGCCTAAGGCACCTGAACAGCCAATAGCTAGGTGGGAGAGAATAGTCAGGATTTCTGGGGAGAGAGAGGAACGCTGAGAGCAAGAAAGGAAGAGATGCCAGCGAGATGAGGAGGGAGTTGGACACACAGAATGGTGAAGAGGTAAAAAGCCACGTGGTAGAATGAAGATTGATAGAAATGGGTTAAAGTTGTAAGAGCTAGTTGGGAACAAGCCTAAGCTAAAGGCCAGAAATTCATAATTAATAATAAGTCTCTATGTCATTATTGGGAGCTGGTGGTTCCAAAAGGAAGTCTGACAAGAAAGTCTGTTCACAAGCAGTTATTTCCTCAGACATCAGCACAAGTTGGAGGTACAAAACAAGAACATAAGAGGTTATCTCCTGAGGTTTTAGAGCACAGGAGGTATTAAAAGTAACCCGACACCATCTTTTCCTCTAGGCTGAAGGCAATCTTTGATTGGTGTCTTTAACTAATGAAGTTGCCTGGTTTTGGTCCTCCTTCATTTCTTCATCTTCAGGAACTCATGATGGAAAGACTCTGTAACCAATTTGAATCTTTAGTCATAATTCTTGTCCTTTTGGCTGTGAATCGAGCCATTCACGGACAAGTCATTTCTCCAACCCTTAGCTCTAAGGGCGTCGCAAGGTAGGTGCCATTGTAATGAGCAAACAGATGGTGGAGGAATGGGAGACAGAGAAACAGAATGATTCATGTGCTGTGGAAAGAGGCAGATCTGCAGAAGTGAAGGTGGTGAGGAACGAGGACCCAAGGGGGTCCAGCCCCTCGATAGTCCCCTCCCAGGGTCCGGGAAGAATCTGCAACCAGCTGATAATTAATCTTTGGGGATAGGAAATGAATCTACACACAAGAAACTCTTTAGTCTACACACTTTATTCTTATGAGTCAGTTCTCTCTCTACATAGCTTCTATTCTGCTCTCATGTGTAGCTTCCTTCTTGCCTGATTTCTCTCTACATTTATCTGTGGTCCCCTCTAAGTTCCATCTTAATTCCTTCGTCTAGTTTTGCCCCATATAGGTTCTCATCCATCTAGTTCCTTCCCATCTCAGCTCCTCTCCCATCTCCTTCTTTCTCACCTTGTTCTTCCCCATCTGGCTCTTCCTCATCTTCCATCTTGTTCCTCTAGTACTCTCTTCTAGCCCTTCAATCTAGTTCTTCCCCATCTAAGTTCTATTTTTGCTTCTCTCTCTCCTCCTCTGGTCTCCTTATTCTCTTTGTTCTCCTCAAGTCTCCCCAAGAATCCAGTTATAAACCTAAGCAATAGCAATCCTCTGGCAGGTCACCAGGCTTGAATTCTTACGGGGTCATAAAGGCAAGTAAGAATTTTCCTCAGGTGGTGACCACCAGGCTTTCTTTTACAACCTAAAATGGGAGTGGTAAAAGAGGAGGTCTACTGAGTGCTAATGACCGGTTAGTATATCAAAAAGGGGATCTATGTCCTCAGTCTACATTCCTAGAAGTGGTTAGGTAAGAAGTTAGGGGTCTAATAGTAAGGTTGTATAAGAAAGGAGGGTCTCACCCTATAAGAAATAACGCTATCCGCCTGACCTAGGAGACAGGTGTTGTTTCATTTGGTCTTGGGTGCCTGATAGACATTTTAGATAAATACACTGTTAGGAGTTCTTGGAAGCACACAAGAAAATCATTTTAGGAACCAGCTAATATATATGTTATATATATATATATATATATATATATATATATATATATATATATATCCAGAACCATGCTGTCATCAGAGGACCTGACGGCATCCAGGCCTGAGCTACTGTCAAAGGCCATGTCTGGGTCCATGGCCCTACAGTAGCCAGGGTCTGTGTTGATGTTCACAACTTCAGTAACCACTGAATGCCTAGGGTCTAGTCACCCACCTGGTGCCATGCTGGTGTCTGAGAGCCATGCTGATCTGAGTAGCATGTACTACCACTGAGGCCATGCCCTGGATATGACTGAGGACCATGTCTGAGTTTGTGGCTCTACCACAGCCAGGATCTGTGTTG